TAGAAAATGAAGGCTAATCATGTTTTGGGTGTCATGTTCTGTTAATAAAAGACGGCTGCAGGAGGGGATTCGGAGAAGGAAAGCTTGAAGTTGGGTTGGGCTTTTCCTTCCGCTCCTGCAGAAGCTGCTTGAATCTCTTTCCTGTGTAGACTCAATTTCTATTTATTTGCAAACCTACATTTTTTGAATCCGACAGCTTCTCATGCATATCATGAAGCTGCAGGTACTTAAAAAGTTTTGGAGAGAAAGCGAACTTTAAAATTGGTCCAAAGTTTGAGAGAACTGTAGGATCGTAATTGTTTTTCTTTATGGTGACTGTTGAAAGCAAAGAACATGTGTAAAAAAAAAAGTAAAGTTGAAGAAAATAGTTTTCCAAATATGAACTTTCAAAAACCTTCTCAAAAAAAAGGGGTTTGAGAGAGTAATTCATAATCTGCATGCAAAACTGCAGCAAATGTTTTTTACAGTACCGGTATACTGTTTTTTTCAAAACTTTTATCCAAATTTATTTTTCCAATTTTATTTTTTTTATACCCGTTTTACAAATTCTACCTTGTCATCATTTAACTATTTTGCAAACAACATTACACAACTTAAGCGGTTTGCTTAATAAAACTGCTGCTAAACAATCTGATGCTCACGTTTAGCTCCGCTAAGCATCACGTCTCGATCCTCTGCATTAGCATGCGTATGCTCATGGTGCATTCAAAGACAAATCGGAAAAAGAAATTACTGCATGCTGATAATGGGATTAACTGTTGTAACAGCTGAAAAAAAGTCCAGGGGACATGTCCAATGCATACCCCACATCCGTACCACCCATGCATATATCCCACAAGCTTTCCTTTTTCCTTCACTGGAAAATCGGGAGTTTGGAAGGAGATCACATCAAAAAATCGTCTTCCATGAAAATTGTGAGCGTTGGCAAGTATGACTGTTAGCTGTTTAGTGTTTGTAAATTTGTAGAAAATATTGTCACAAAGACATCAGCATGGCTGTGTCCAAACGTCCGTCTTAACCCCTAAATCCCTCAATCACTACATAAAGCGGCGACTGTATAGTGGACTTTATAGTGAACTCAGTTAACTGACCGTTCAGACAGATGATCACTACTTTTCCCTCTCTATTTGTCACATGACTCCACCTCCCTGCACGGTTCCTGTGCCATCTTTGTTATTTGTTGCCACTGTCAGGTATCAAAAGCATGCCGCTGTGACAACAAATCCCATGATGCTTTAAGAGGGAAGCTCTCATCCCAAAGCATTCCAGGATATATCTGCTTGTCTAGTGACCATGGATGATCACTGCTTTTCAAGGTGCATGGTTAGAATTTTGAGTCCACAAATTTTTCATCCACTACACATTCAGACACTCATTTTAAATGACATAACCACTATACACTCACCGGCCACTTTATTAGGTACACCTGTCCAACTGCTCGTTAACACTTAATTTCTAAGCAGCCAATCACATCGCGGCAACTCGGTGCATTTAGGCATGTAGACATGGTCAAGACAATCTCCTGCAGTTCAAACTAAGCATCAGTATGGGGAAGAAAGGTGATTTGAGTGACTTTGAACGTGGCATGATTGTTGGTGCCAGAAGGGCTGGTCTGAGTATTTCAGAAACTGCTGATCTACTGGGATTTTCACGCACAACCATCTCTAGGGTTTACAGAGAATGGTCCGAAAAAGAAAAAACGTCCAGTGAGCGGTGTTCTGTGGGCGGAAATGCCTTGTTGATGCCAGAGGTCAGAGGAGAATGGCCAGACTGGTTCGAGCTGATAGAAGGGCAACAGTGACTCAAATAACCACCCGTTACAACCAAGGTGGGCAGAAGAGCATCTCTGAACGCACAGTACAACGGGAAATTCG